ATTCTTTAGGTTTTTTTTTAAATTTTTCACTAATAAGAAATGATACAACATAAATTAATTAAATCAACTAGAGTGATGACGAGTGATGAGTGGCGATAACCACCACCATTCTTACGATAAACACTTACCCAGTAATTTCTTCTTGTTGTTCTTGTCTTTGTCTTTTCTTATTGCTTTCAGTTCGATTTTTTGGCATTTCTAAAATTTATTGATCAACAAAACGCGATTACAATATTATTATTGGCACTTGGTGTTGCACAAAGATTTTGTTCTTGAGGGACAGACGCGAATTGATTTTTTTTTTTTTTTTTTTGGAAAAACAATCTTATTTTTTGACAGAGTCCAAGATGAGGAAACGCGAGTGTTGTTGTTTGGCTCTGAAGACATGTTAATAACTAACCAGAGGTACTATTTTTTATTTGTATTGATGTGTCTTTTATTTTATAAATATTTTAATTGGAATCAAAACGCGGAGCAGATCTTGCTGGGTAATTATAAGATTCTTATCAAGATGATAACAAATGAACGATTGGTGTTTTGCTTTTTGTAATCATTAATAATATTAATATTATAATATAATTAATTACATGTCAAGGCAGCACACCATTGAAAAAGAAATACTTCGATATGCAATGTTTGATTATCAAAAATTTTATAGACGTTGAAGCATCCACACTACCTTGAACTTTACAGTCATTCACACATCTTCCTCGTGTACACAAGGCTAATCTGACCTGGTGGATCGATGATACAATTATGCTACCAAATTCCAGGGGTAATACGTGGCCCTGGAGTTTACCAAGGCTGCATCAATTGTCAATGACACTTTTCACCAATCTTCCCAGACCAGAGAAGGCTGCTATTCCAACCAAAAAGTTGCCTGCAACAATCCACCTCTAGGGTAAGGATGGCCCTGCGACCAAGCTGCAACTCTGCAGAAATATTAAAAGAGTCTGCAACTCACTTCAAGCACAGGAGGTTGCAATTCAGTGCAGGGCTGGTGGCCCTGAAATTGCATTTTGCTCTACAGTTTTACGGTTTACAACTTTTATGACTTTATGGTGTCATGACGAATTGCCATAATTCAGATAAAATGGTTTAGATTTTGTTTGGTATGTTTAAGGCTCCAGCTCACAAACCAAATAACTTAGTAAGCTCTCAAGCTGGCTTGCGAGGAGCTTTAGGTATGTTACATATAAATTAATCATTCCCAAATTTTCTGTTTCTTTAATTTTTATTTGACCAACTGAATTTGTTATTTTTTAAATGGGGGCTTTTGCACATATAACCCACCCTAGGTTAATAAAGGAGTGTAGCTCAATGGTAGCATGTATCTTACAAGTATAAAGATGGCAGTTCAATTCTGCCCACTCCTATTGTGATTGTCACCATGATCACTGGCATCAAGGAGAAGGTTGTAAAATAAAATGGTTCAGATTTGGTATGTTATAAATTAATCATTTTCATAAATTCTGTCTCTTTGGTTTTTGTTTGATCAACTGAACTTGTTATTTAAATGGGGTAGGGTTGTTGGTGTATTGGTGTGCCTAAATTCAGGGAAAATTCAAAACAGCAACTCAGGTTGCAACTGCTTGAGTTGGAGAATTTTGTACCAGTCTTAACACCAACTTTATTCTAGAGAGGTCTGAGGGGAAGATAAGGGGAAAGTTTTGTCTGAAGCCTTCCAACATGTTCAGGACCACTTCACCTGTGGGGAAAAAACTCCATGGTGCTGAATTGTGCTTAATTGCACTGTCCTGCATGTTTGTGATAGGGAAATTTTAATTAAATCTGACACCTGCAATCAATATCAGATTTATTATTCATGAGCAACCATGATTGATAATCAGGAAAAGTAATTTATTATTGTGAATCCCAGAGATCTGGGTAGACATGCATTATTAAAAGTTTCATTTATGCATGGCCTTGGTATTGTTACTACCTGGGTGAT